GTGCATTTCAAGGAAATATTAAAGATGCACTTGTGTGTTTGTGTAAGGAGGTTCATCCTGGAAAACATATGTGTGTGATTGAGCTAAAATGCCAAATACTACAGCGTGGGAGAGAATTTGTCTTATTCATGTTTGAGCAACTGGCACTTTACCATGGTAAGACTACTGAGATGCTGCCTCGACCTGCAAGGCGAGGGTCATGTGATGGATGGAGACAGCTGAAGGCGTCAGTTGGCCACTTTCTGGTTGCTTTGCTAGTACTGTAAGAAGGTTTTTAGTGAATAAGCCAATTACACCACTGTCTTTGAAAATTGAGCATAACTCTACAGCAAAGGGTAAAATGCACTGAAGCTTGTCAGTTAGCCTGATGCATTTCTTTATTCTTTAACTTCTACTTTATTTTGACAAAGCAGTACCTTGTATCTGTGATTTTTAAAAAAAGAAATGCAAAACAACTCAAAGGAAAAAAATAGGACAAGAAAGAAACAAGATACAGAATTATACTCTCCAAAATATTGTACGTCCATGAATATTCGTGCAAATATAACTTACGTTTTTAATGGATCCCTTACATTTCAATTTCTGAATTAAAGTTGCATTATCACAGACATTCCTTAAAAATGTTTATGTGTGGTTCTGTCGCCCAGCACTTCCACCAAATCTGTTAAGACTGACTGTCTCGAGAAATGTCAGATGATGAGAAACATAGCTCAATAATAAAAAGACAACAAACATTATTTCCATAATCAATTCCTTTTAAAAATCAAAACTCAAAGTAACTATTTAAAACCCACTGTCATTGTGGTCTGTAAGACAACATTGTAGTAAGCCACGGCCAGTAGTGGTCAGCTGAGCTGGCAATAAAAAAAATGCTAGCAGATTACCTCACTAGCAGTAGTGCTATCTTAGCTACTCCTGTCGGTCACATGACCTTCACTTTGCAGGTCACCTGCCAGCGTTGTGTGGTGTCAGGATTCTGGACTAGCTGAAGATTTCTGGTGTGTAATGCAGGGGCTCCAGCTAGGAGGGATTTGTAGCAGTCCAGACAGGAGATGAAAAGTGCCTGAATGAGCACTATGGACATCTTGTTAGTGATAAAGCAGCAAATATTGCTTGCTGTTATACAGGAAGAATCTACAGGAGCGGGCTGCTGCTACAATATTAGGTCAGAACAACCCTGGTTCCTCACTGTTTGCATCACTATTGGCATCACCATTTGGGTTGTCAGTTTCAGAAAATTAGAAATATTGTCGAACACAGCCCTCCATATTGAATCATAAATGTTTGGGGGGGGAGGGGTTTCAGACGGTGTTAGATTATTCAACAAGCACTTCAGTTGAAGAATACTGATGCCTTTTTAGTGCCATCACATCCTCTCCAAGAGATTGAAGAGAGAAGTCATGTGAAGGAGAAGAAGAGAGGGCCTGAGATTAAGCCATGTTGAACTCCTGTAGCAGGCTGCATGGTTGAGACACCCATCTTCGCATGTGTTGTTGCCATAGAGATACGATTGTTTTGTTAAGCAGTGGGTAGTGCATGTATATTAGCAACATTGTTCAGTGGAATAAAATATAGCACTTTGTTTAATTTAGTTGCACATTGCAACTTTGTTTCTTTCATACAATTTTACTCTGACTTTAAAGCCTACAATATTGTATGTAGATGTTATATTCCATTCAAAACTGCTGTAATTGTGTCTATTTGCCACCCGGGCTGAGTTGATCTGGAGCCCACCACATGTCATTTCAGGGATTTGAGAGTTTAGAGAGGATCAGTTTGAGAGAACATGAGCACATTGTGGAATGTGTGGCTCACTTACAGTTACCATTGTGGTTTCAGCGGAAAAATGTATAATCCCAATGCCACTTACATGTGAAAATGCATAGTAGACATACTCCTGTCCATTTTTCCCTTGACTCACAATGTAAACTGACCTAAAAAGCTTAATTAGAGTATATAGGGTGAAGCAGCAGAACAAAACTCAGTTCCAAACCCACATTTTATTTCTGAGCTGCAGTGGATAGAAATAGTTTATTGTTATTGGGCACTGTGGTAGTAATGCAGAGTCATTACTTCTTCAGTTTAATAGACATGTCACAAGGAAAAATACATATATAAATTCTTTTTTAACCTAATTTTATACCATATAAAACTTTATAATGAGAGCATTTCTGTCGTTTTATTTTTCTGTATATGTTTCTCTTTGTGCTTTACCTCCATTTGTCCCTCCCGCCTTTCCCTCCATTTGTCTCAGTGTAGTTGCTGCTTTGCTTTCACATCACACTACACAGTCGATGTGGGCACTACGCTAGATAAATCAATAGACTGAATGGAAAAGGCTAAAATGCTCTGCTGGAGACTGGGGATGCTCAGGCACTCAAGGATGGACACAAATCCTTCCAAGGGGGAGACACACACAGACACACAAAAACACAAGATTTTTTAGAAACCAGCACCAGTATCTTAGAATGGAAGTTGCTGATAGCTGATATTGTGACTTTGTATTGTGGTATCGTACATGTTACAACAAATCCCTCTCCAGAAATTGACGAAATTGATCTCGTCAGAGTGAAAAACAGTATTTAGAGTCAGACAAAATGGCAGCACAACTGTCCAGAATAATAATATTTTTTCTAGTGATAATAAAAAGGCATCAGGAACAATTTTAATAGTAATCCGTTCTAAAGTAGAAATATAATCTGCATCATATCATTCTGCCTACTGTTTATCAGATATATTCTGAAATCTGGATTTGCTAAGTGCTGATGCTAACACAAACAAGTCACTTTCACTGGTTGAAATGACATCACTTGCATTTTATGTTAGCTAAAATTAGCATTAATTCTCAGTCCCTCCAGGATTTCACTGGCTTTTTTGAGGATTGTTGTGTCCTTTTCACAGCAGATTTTAAAAAAACAATTGCAATGCATGTTGTGATGTTTTAAGGCATTTTTTGTAATGAAATTGTGGGAGAAGGCAACTTTTTCATTTTTCATTTAGAATAAATTAGTTTGGTGATGCATGGCACAGGATTGGAGAAACTCGCTGGAAACATGATTGATCAAATTTTTAGAAAATTGCAGTGCTTGGACCAAATTGCAAGGTTTGCTTAGAATTCACATGGATTTGTGTTAATTGTTGCGATAACATTGCAAGGGAGGGACTGAATTCTGTCACTAAGTTGACAACGGGCCAAAGTGGAACTTTTGGCTGTTGCTCAGCAAAATTATTAGCAAAAAACGGCAACGATTATTTTTGTTATCAATTAGTCTGTCAGTCATTTTCTAAATGTATCAATTAGTTATATATAAATATCAGAAAATGGTAAAAAATGTTGATCAGTGTGATGTCCTCAAATGTTTAGTTTACAGTCACAGAGGTCTAGGGAAACCACAAAATGTTTGGAAAGCTAAAATCAATCAAATTTGACTATATTCTCTCTTTTTTTTTTTTTTAAAAGACTCAAAATGATTAATCAATTATCTGAATAGTTGGTGATTGATTTAATAGTTGCCAATTAATTGAATAGGCAACTAATTGTTGCAGCTTTACGCAAGACCACCAGAGTGGCAAATCTTCCAAAGTGAAAGGATTTAGCTGAGTTCCAGGAGAATCTGCCAGTTAAACTGAAACACATATTTTATCATTATTTATAGGAATAGTTTGGCATTTTGGGAAATAAGCTTTCTTTTAATACGTGATTATTAATACATGTCCCGTATTGGCTTTTTATATTTATCTAACCAGTATATTAATCTAATTCTACCATCCCAGACAGAATGAATAGTGGATGTACTGCTCTGAATTCCAGTCGGACTTCTTTGTTCTACTTCAATTTATAGCTTTCTAAAGCTTCTCTCTCCTGAGCTCTCTCTATTCAACTCCCTGATGGCATTTTTCTATCTTTCACCTTCATTTTTCTCACTATCTCTTTTTTTTTTTTTTTTTATCTCTCACCCTTTCTCTAGAGGGTGTTGCTGTTAAAGCCTCCAACAGGGTGGTCCAAACTTACCCAAAGTAAAATAATGAAGCTGCTCGGCTCTCTCTCTGTTAGTTGAACAATCACATAATAAATGCACGGCTGGGAGAGCGAGGGGTTGGGACGGAAATGGAACGGGTAGCGAGTACGTAAGTTGTGACAATGTAATTAGGAGTATAGAGGAGAGCCTTAATAAGCACAGCCGCTGGAGAGGAAAGCAGACACCTCTCTTCTGTTTTTAGATTTTAGATGAGACTAAAAACATGGAGATGTATTTAATGTCAAATATCTAGTACAGGGGAGATGATGTCAGGCAATAAATGACAGGCAGGTAGGTTATAACCTAGTTTTTACAATCATACACATCCTGGAATAAGGAAGTTCAGAGGGTGCAATTAAACTTTGGAAACCTGTAGTGAAAGTTGGAGATAAGAAAAATAATTAAAACATTTTGAGCCTTCGTGACCCAGAAATCAGGTAACATGATTTTAGTGAACTGCACAGCCAAAACGCGAACTAAATCTGCTCTTGTGGATGATGAAGCCACAGTTCATCATCAGGGAGTCGAGCTGCTTCTGAAAGCAAGACTTCTTTATTGATTTTTTTATTGTCCCTTTCTATTCGTAATGAAGCATTCCAGAAATGAAATGAGTCAGGAACAGTTTAGCAAACACTAAATGTTTTTAAGATGCAGACAGATATTTAGGCATTGTTAGTCTAATAATGATTCATGGATTAAATTTCAGACCCTTGCTTCATATCATTACGTTTCAGAAGTCAATACTCCACTTTTTGCCAACTATTTTGTCCAATACTGAGCCCTGACATCTTATTTTCTTAAATAGCTGCTCCAGTGATTTACTGTTGCACTGAAATTAAGTTGGGGGAATCAGAAAAAAAAAAGAAGGGTCAATATCAAAGCGACAGAGGCCGTTGTATGATAGATAGGCCGTGGTATGCTTGAAACAAACTGGCTAGTGTGAAGTGTCATCTGACCACGTCTAGAGACGAGAGCGTTCAAATGGATGCACTTAAAGGCGAGGTGAACAGCCTGCTGTCACAGAGAGGGATGAGACGTGGTAATCATTTAAATGAGGATAACTGCACTTTCAGACTCTCTGTGTAGACATTTATGGTGTTGCACTCACTCAGAAAGTGACAGGAGTTATGAAAAGAGCGAGACAACAGAGCTCAAGGGAGGTTTCAACCCACTTTTACACCTCCGCACAACCGATCAATTGCTGAGTGCTGTGGGTGTGGTTGTTGGATTGTCAGTTTTGAGACAAAAATGATCACTATGGCATCATCAGGGTCAATAGCTCAGGGTCAGGAGCTCCTCTTCTGTTTCCACAGTCTGAGTAGTGCTATCCATGGCTTGGAAAACTGACCTTGATGTATAAAATCAGTCATCACCTTTAAAGCTGTTTATATGTGACATTTCTGCATTAAAATGTCTATTAACACTAGAGCTATGTTTTATATGTAGTTCAGTTGTGTACTTTCATTATCCAAACTGTTTCCCACAGTCTAGCTAACTGAGCTATCTAGCTAACAGCATTTAGCAGCAGTTTACTTTACTGTCCATCAGGAGACTGATGCCCGAGAGGCAGAGCAGCGGTGCAACCAGAAAACATTTAGTTAGACTTAGTGTTACGCACATGTCCCAACCAGGAGCCAAAAGTTACATAGTGCAAGAACAGGCTTA